TCAAGGTCGTGTAGACACTTTTTAGTTGGAAAGTGAGTCACTTGCTTAAATTACCTGAAATATAAACGCAACATCAAGGTTGTCTGGTTTTAGAAAAAAAAATAGAGATTTGCGTATAGATGTATAGGATAAAACATACTACATGCACATGGCATCCCCACATCTTCTTGTTCTGTATACTGTGTCCCTTCAGAATGTAAGTGATTATGGCTCTCCACAATTTCCTATCCTTTGTAGCACTTAGTAACATTTGTCTTTTTACCATTGCTCCGACTCCCTCTTCTACTAACCATTTACACAAGCTCATCAGATAAGTGTCTTGCTGTCGCTTTTGCTTTCAATATATCCTGCGAGTGTCCAATTCTCTAAGCCCTCTTTCCTTATGCATCTGCTGTACCTTTCTGATTCTGGGTCCATTCTGTTTCCATGTTCTTTAATTGCTGATGCATTCTATTCATAGTATTCTCAGCAACCTTCTGTAGAACCACATTTTTGTTGTCTCAAGTCTTCTCTTCATCTGTGAAGAAATTGTCCAGCATTCACTGCCATATGTGAGGATTGATATGACATAAAATTTCTGCACACTTTCCTTACTTTCTAACCCAATTTTCCTACTTCTTAATACTTTACTTAGCTTTTGGAATACATCTTTTGCTATTCCTTTGGATTTTAGTAACACATTTTTCACCCTCCCTTAAGATACTTCCCAGATATTTAAACTATTATATTTGACTGAATCTTGATAACTCCAGTATATAGCTATAGAATCCAGTCTAACCTATATTTTAGAATGAAAAATTAAGACATCCTACATGTAACTTTCTTTTTATTGTGACAAAATTTATTCAGCCTCACCTAAAGATTTCCACAGTTCTAAAATAAACAATAGAGGCATACCGACAGAGACCAGATCTGTCACAAAAAATAAGATAGAATAAGACTATCAATAAAATAAGTGTAATAATGTCTTCATACATGTGTTGAGATAAAAAGCAACAATAATAAGATCTAGTAAAATCAGTAATAAAATAAGAGTAATAATGAAGAGTTTATTGACCTAGAGTGTAATGATCAAAAGCTACAATTTTCTATATACAACATGTGAAAGCATGTGTGATACACTGCCGTTATCAGCTGCCAACTGGGGGAGGGGGTAACATAGTTCCAGTGACTAAGGTGATACTGCCACCCTTGGTGCCATCAGCAGCTTTTCCCACCAGACAGGGTATTTTTTTGTTTGTTTTTTTTGTGTAGACATGTCAGTATAATGAAGGTTTTTTTTTGGTTTTTTTTTTGGCAACTGCAAGTCAGATTTTCAGTGTTGTGTTAAAAGCGTTTGCTTTTGATCATTAACCAGTACACACTGTGCTCATAGTGACCGTTATCAATGGCGTAGAATGGAAGGTAAATAGATGTATTTCATGTCAGAAGTAGCATTGTGTTGCATGCATGGTTTTAATTGGTTTATTTTGGACCTTGACTAGATCCAACTTAATGCCTGTTGAGCTGTGGTCTGGAAATGATGTGAAGCACACTTCAGGCTCCAGCCCATAATGCCCACCTTCAAAAGGAAGAAAACGATAATAAGATGGAATAAAACTAGCAATAAAATAATAATAATAATAATGAAGAGTGTATTGATCTAGAGATTTAGAATAGAAAGCTACAATAATAGGATGGAATAGAACTAGCAATAATGATGATGTTGAAGAGTGTAATGATCTGGATAAGAAGTGACTATAATAACATAGTGTAAAATTTGTAATTTGCTTGTTGGTTTCTTTTTACTGACATCCATGCATTCTGTCTGCTTACAATTGATTACTACTATTATTTTATTATTAGTTTTCTTCTTCCTCTTAATTTTCGGTCATATTATGTTGAAACATACAATCACAATATTATGTTCACATACAATCACCAAAGTTAAGCAACTTCAAATCTTATTAGTACCTAGATGGGTGAATATGGAGAATACCAGGTACTCTAAGCTCGAATATGTGGGTGGTGTAATGGATAACTGTCCATTTTGCTGATGACATGCCTTGAGTGCCAAGATCTCAAGTGGAACTTGTACACTGCTAAAGATGCTGGAAAAATGGTCTGTTCCCTGTACCACTCCAGCAAGTACCTAACTCCTCCTGCTATCCTCTAATGCAAGAGCCAGATCAGGCTGAAAATGGAATACTGTTGTCATATATGGGGGAGGGGAGCTGCCCAGTCCTCGCTTTCCATTCTCAATGAAGTCCAAAAGCATCTCCGTGTCCTTGTGAGTAACAAATAATTTTCCACCCTTCAACCCCTTTCTCATAGACGAGGCATTGGAACCTTGTTGTTGCTTTATTGCTATTTCCATGGCAAATGTCCAGATGAACACCATCCCTTAATTCCACTACTCCTAACCATCATGACATAACCCTGCCTTCTTATTCCTTTGGCAAGATGAAAGTTCTACTCAAGCAGCTTCTTTCTATGAACCTTGTGGAACTGACTCTCAAAAGGATACTTCCCTGATCACTGTAGTTTTATCCTGTTCAAGTTTAGGGTTAATTTTTATCTTCCCTACATAAGCTTTGCCTCATATTCTGGAACCCTCTACCTCCAGTGCCTCCCCCCTCCCTGGATCTTGTACAGGGTGAACATCATTGTAAAAAAAAAAAACAAAAACTGTTTTCTTACAATTAATCGTTATTCCATTGAGTAGGCTTCATTGTCTCTTTTCTTTGTTCCTTAAATGTGCTAACTAAATCCTAGTAAATGATAGTTTTGAGTAAAATGTTTTGTTCTTCTTTTTTCCTTTGTCTCCTTTCTTTTCAAAAAATGCATTTCCCTTGGTTATCAAATTTCTGCAACAATCATACTGTTTCCATTGTCGTCTTTCCCTTTCTCTTCCTGTTTAATAATCTGGTGGTGTTGTACAATAGCCACCACAACCGAATTTAAACGCTCCAGGTTGTGAATATAAAAAAAAAAAAATTTAAATTAAATTTTGTAAAAGTTCATTGGAGGGGTGGGGGTCCAGTTTGCTATGTAAATTAATTGTAAATTGATCCCCCTACAGAAGCCAAAACAAAATATGCTCATACCATTTGATTTCTTAAAATTTAGTCCTGACAATAAACTACATCCAGCAGCAAGGCCTTTGATTGGAAAATTTTATGGAGTGTGAAAGCACTGCTTAATTGCTATTGTTCCCAGGTCCATACTGACCCAGGGTGGTAACATCTGTTAGGGTTTCAGTTATGGGTAAATAGTGACCACCTCACCAACCTCCAAACATAAACAAAACACTATGAAAGTATAAAAATACATTTTTATAGTAAAAATACCAGCAGTACATTTTTATATGAAAAAAATACCAACAATATGAACATACTAACAAAATGTAACAACTTCATCCAAATCCATTTAAAATACTGTGTAACCCGGATATAAGAGAGTTGTCGGGACTGGAGAAGAAGTCTCTTATATCCGGGTTTCTCTTATATCCGGGTTTGGTCTATTTTGTTTAGGTAAATATGGCTCTAATTTGAGACCAGAGAAAATCTCTCTTATATCCGGGTTACACTATATTACCAAACAACCAACATGAAAAAACTTTCAAGTCATAATATCCTACAATTTCTTAAATCAAACTGTATTCTAAAAACTAACTTCAACAAAACACACATCACTGTCTCTTGTAATCATGTCCATACAAACACACACACACACCACACATATATATATATATATATATATATATATATATACACACACACAAAAGCTGAGTATCTACCATGCATTCAGTTCTGAAAACAGAATAACATATATCATATTTTTATTACTTCCAAGCTGCCAAGAAAATTAAATTTCAGTGTTAAATGACCCATAAGGAGTTGATGTGCCATTAAACAGAGCATTTCTTAAAATGAAACTTTTGGAATTCTGGAGTACTTTTTTCATATATTATGATGAATTTAGCATTCCAGATTATGATGTTTGAAAAAAAATTTAAATAAAGAAAAGAAGTTATCTGGTATGAGCATAATTTGTTTTGGTTTCCATAGGGGAGGATAAATGTACATAGCAAACTGAACTTCCTTTTATCAAATTTAATTAATATATATTCACCTGGAGTGCTTAATGTATAGTAATATAAAAAAAAAAACCCTGGAATTAGACAGTGGAAATGAGGCAAGCAATAACTGAGTAGTCCTAAGATAAGACCGAGATGAGATCTCCCCAGACATGGTCAGCAGAATGAGAACAATTTTAAAGGGCTCAGTATGAAATTCCCTGAAGGTTACTCACATTGACAATCACCTGATGAAGACTAAAGAAAGCAATGGTTGAAACAATAAATGAGGATACTTCTCCGTCTTTTAAACAGGAGTAACAGTTTATCCTTTGTTAACTGCTTAGGAATGAGATTCCGGTTCCTTTTAAATTCTTCTCACTCCAAGTAGCCCCTTCCCTCTTAGTGGCATTATCACCTTGCTTGGGGTGAAATGATTAAAAAATTTTACTCTGCATCTAATTTTTATGCAGGTTTGTGTTTTTTATGTTTTTTTTTCCTTATTTTTGTGAGTACTGCTCAGTTATTGCTGGCTCCATTTCTCCAGAGTCCAATCCAAATCCTGGATCTTCTCATTCCTTTTGGAGGAACCCCTCCCTGACTGACCAGGTCTTTAGGGGCATAGCTGTAGTCATTATGCTTGGCTGATTGCATGTTGGTAAGGCTATTTAACCCATAGGAGGGGTAGATGGTAGTTGATTCTGAGGAGTTCATCCACCCTTTAACAGATATTGTTTTTATACTGCTGTTTCCCTTACTCTCCTCATCAGGCCAGTTGAATTCAGTGTTGTCCTTCTCCTAAACCAGTTGACAGCCAAGGCTCTATGGCCTTGTCCATTCTGTTTACCCATAGCTGGGGAAAGAAGAGATACATTCATATCTTTCCCAAGACTATTTGCACGTAAGTGAATGTAAAAAAAACTCAACTGGAATTCAAACTCAGATGGAGGATCACTTAGCTCATCCGTTGATGAAGAGTACAGCCATCTGCAAGAACGGATGCAAATTGCAGGACTTGGTGAACATCAACACCTTGAACACCCATTGCAGTCTCAAGATCAATTTTCCAAGCACTCTTTTCCTTATTATATACCCTTGAAATTTCAGTTGTTTTTTTATGATTTTAAACGTAAGTGTCCTTTTTCTTTACATTTTCTCTAAAACTTTGTTCTTGCTCACATGTTTAGTTCATGGTATTCTCAGCATCTTTCTGTAGAAACACATTTTTATTGTGTCAAGTTAGTTTTTCATCAGTGTAGAGATGGTGCAGCATACACTGCCATACCGGAAGATTGATATTACATAACAGTTCAGTACTCTTTTTATTTGTTTCTAAAGAAATTTTCCTATTTCGTAATACTTTGCTTAGCTTTTAGAAGGTATCTTTTGCTATTCCATTATGCCTTCAGATTCCTATGTTGCATTTTCCATCCGCTGTTAAAACACTTGATTAAATTAGATGAAAATCATTCAGGGGGCTTGAAAACTACAAATGTGTTCTTGACTATTATGAGAGCCTATTGTGAGATATGAAAAGAAAATTAACCCTTGACTACCTTTATAATTAGTGTGGCCGCAACATTGTTATCATGATGATAGGTTGATACACGAGAACAGGAGTGTGCTGAAAGGTTCTGGGTCTAACACACTTCTCAGGATTTTGCCAAATAACTAAACAGGATTTTTTGAAAGTTTTCTTGGTTGGGCTGTGAACATTTCAGCATACCTTTGGTAGATTATAGTCAGAGAAATACAGTTTTCTTGAAATAGAAACATGGAAAGTTGAGAGTCCCAGGTCTCCCCTTTGTTCTGTAGGACTATACTCTGTTACCTTTGAGCTGCCACACCCCCATGTTGATGGCCACTTTCAGTTGTTGAGTGCATGCTGGCAAATAGCCACTTCATGGCAGATGCGCTTCATTTATGTCTTAATTTCATTGCTCTGACTTTTTCCTTTTTTTTTTTTTATTGTGACTCTCTTTTTCTTTTCTCTTTACTCTTCTTTCATCCTTCTTTATTATTTCTCTTGTTCTTTTCCCCCTTCTCTTCTCTCCTTTCTTCATCATATCCTTCTATTTCATTTCTTTTTCCTTTACTATTTTCTTTTCTCTTTCTTCTTCATTCTTTTTACTACCTCGGTCCTTTTTCTTTCATTTCTTTCTTTTCTCTTTCCTTTCTTCACCTTTTTTTTTTATCCTTTGGTTATCACGTTCTTTTTCTCTTCTCTTTACTCTTTCTTCATCATTTTTTCAATATCCATCCTTTCTCTTTAATTTCTTTTTCTCTTTCATTTCTTCCTCCTTTTCTCTTTCCTTTTTCTCTGTTTTGCTTTCTTTTTCTTCCACTTTTTCACTTTTCTTCTCTTTTTCTTCCCACTCTTACTCTCTTTTAAATTTGTTTTTTTGATTTCTCTTTCCTCTCTAATTTTCTCTTTTTCTGTTTCTGCAAGTCTCTCTTTATCATAATCTCTCTTTTTAATATCTTTTTCATATTATTTTTCACTTTCTTCTTCTACTCTCTCTCTTCATTATTCACTCTCTGTCTCTTTCTATTGCTTATGCTACTCTCTCTTCTTTTTCCTTTATATTATCTTTTTTCCCTTTCTTCTACTCTCTTTTCCTTATTCATTCTCTCTTCCTTTCTAATTCTCTCTCATTCCACATATCTTTTATTTTGCTTTTCTTCTACTCATTTTTCTTATTCATTCTCTCTTCCTTTCTAATTCTCTCTCTTTTTCCTGAAATTATCTTTTCATTCTTTCTTTCTTTTTTATTCTTTCTTTCCCTTTCTTCCTTATGCTAGTCTCTCTTCATTTTTCTTTATATTATCTTTTTCTGTTCCTTTCTTCTTCTACTCTCTTTTTCTTATTCTCTCTAATTCTTTCTTACTCTTCTCAACCCTCTTTTCAGTATTCATTCTCTTTTCCTCCCAATTCTTAGATGCTGCAATCTCCAAAAACCCTCTCAAAGCAAAAAAAAAAAAAAATCTCTTTACTGCTATAAGCAAACATTGTCACAGGTTCTTGTCTTCGTACCTTGCATCTTTTTTTCTTTCTCTCCTTTATAGCGGAATGGCTTGTTTCTCCAGGTTTTATGATGCATGAATATTATTACTGGATCCATCCTTGTAACCAAATACTTTTTATGGGTACTTTATGACTATTGATAGAATTTACCTACTCCAAATAGCCTTCCCAATTAGCTGCTTCCAGCTCTGTAATACACTCTACCTTTTGACCGTCAAAGACTTGCAGAACTGTTACCAGTTGGCAATTCTGTTATTGCTACCCTGAAAAATATTCTACTTACAATTCTTGCCTCTTTTTTATCCTTTGATTTGTATTTTGGGATTGTTTCCACCAAAATCAAAAGACTACAATTAGGTGCATCTTTAGGACTGTCTTATTCTTTTATGCACTGCATCCTTTCAGGACATGGGCAGTCATGGCTCACCACAACATCCTTTGTAGCTCTTAACATTGCTTTTTTTTTTTTACTATCCTTCCCACTCTTTAATCTGACATCCATCTACACACTCTCATTAAGTAGGTTACTCCCAGTTTTTCCAGTTCCTCTTGTCATCAGTATGTCTTGTGAGTATCATATTCTCCAAGCCCTCTATCTTTATTTTGTGTTATGGTCCAGGTTAGGTCCAAGGAAGAACAATACGAACACAAGAGTAGAAATAACAAAAGTATATTACACAAAATAATAATAAGATGTGGAAGGTGTTAGTATGACTGTCAGTCTAGTTTGGAGTGAACTACTATCGGCTTGACTCAATTCGTCCCTCTCTCTTGAGAGGCGTAGTATACATAGTGTTAGGAAGAGTTCATTCTGTAGTTATGGGTAAGGACCCATGACATTATGTTTCCTAGAAAATTTAACTATCTCCTTGAATGTAAGTGTCCTCTTTTGCCTTCATTTTCATGAAAACTTCCTTATTGTTCACATGTTCTGTTCATGGTATTCTCAGCAGCATTCTGTAGAATCTCATCTATTTTGTTTACATTTTTTGCTCACATGTTCCACTCATAATATTCTTACTTGCCTTCTGTACAACCACATCTATTTTGTCTCCATTTTCCTCAAAACTTCCTCATTGTTTATATGTTCTGTTCATGGTATTCTCAGCAATTTTCTGTATAACTATATCTTTCATTTCTATTTTCCTTTGAAATACAATCTAAAAATAGTTAAATAAGCTGTTTAGAGTGAGTGCCCATCATTAAATATAAATAAATGGTAGAACTGCCCAACAAACAGATTTGACAAAACTTGCAATATACAATTATAATAGAAAGAAAAGAAACAGGACAAAAAAATAATACAAAGCAAGCAAACAATATATGCAAGGCAAATTAACAGTAATATAGTAAAAAGTTCACAGACTAAGTATTGGCATTGACACACAAGAGCAAATTTGGATGAACAAACACAGTATTCTGACTTCAAGGCAAGACAGACTGGGACTAAGTCAGATGACACTGAGAACCTGTCTAATTTATTGGCTAGGAAGAAATCCCAGCATGCATTTTTGTGCTTCTGCCTATAAATTGGGGAGAAGAGTGTTTTGCAGTCATTCCCATTGGGATTAAAACTAACGACCTGCATCCATAATTAACATTTCTGCACTTGGTAATTGCAGATTCTACATTATATTAGTACATTAGTAGATTCTACATTATATTAGTACATTAGTAGGGATGGGGGATTGTTTGTGAAGAAGGCCTAAATAGAGAGAGATCCTTCAATCTCTAATATGAATTTGAACTTTCAAATAAATGGGTTGGTATAATTATACTTTTTCTAGAAAAACATCCACTCCAGACATCTTTGTTCCAACCACCCCTTTTATTAAATATTCAGGACATTTCATTCCACCTCTGAATTTAGGTTGCTAGCATTCAAGTACAAAATATTTCATTAATGAAAATTACAAAAAAACATTTTCAAAAATTGTAGCCACACCTTTTATTCCAACCATGCCGCTTATTTGAAACCTAAGTGCATTTGGTTATCATACCTTACTAGTAGTCCTGGTGAAAATTTCACCATTTTCCCAATTTCATTTTCTGAGGATTCATAATTCTTAATTTGATGAGTGAATTGCAGCTATAAAATATTTGTAGAAAGTCCTCTATTGTATCGTTAAATATTTGCACTTAACGGCTTTAATAAATAATTATTGCAATGACAATCATAAGTACAAATGTAGGTCATTATTCAACCCTTTGCCTGTCCAGGACATTTTTGTGTGTACTATTCAAACGTTCATTCTTGTTTTCAGATTTATAACTATTGCAAAGCAAGTCAGATTATTTGGCAGATAGAATTTGCTGGTGTATAGTGTTTCACATAATAAAAATGTACAAATCATAAGTTATTTACACTACACTCTGTGCAATACATGTGATACACAGGTTTTTATTATGTGAAATGCTATATATCAGCACTTTCTATTTGCCAAATAAGCTGAGTTGCCTTGCAGTAATTATAAATCTGAAAACAGGCAAATGTTCTGTGTTCATATGTGATACACAAAATATTAGATTAGGTCTTTCCTCAGACATCCTGCTCAGTAGTAAACTCTTTTCTAAAATGTCTTTAGTTTTACCACTCCTTTAAATCATGGCTTCTGTGCATCACATATGAATGCCTGGACATGGAAATAACATGTCCTGTGCATCATATCTGATACACAAGATAAACAAAGCATTAAAGAGGTAAGATGAACAGTTTAAAGAATTGATAACTTTTTCCATTTCACTGGAGCAGACATTAAATGCATATGAATATTATCACCTCCTCTATCTTCCCTTTCTTTCTTTTTCTTATTATGTATGCTTTCTTTTTCTCACTGAAACCAAAAAGTGTCTCTGATATATCTTTTTCTTCTGTCACTCTATGCACTAAAAATGAAATGGTCCATTATTTATCTGAGGCAATGGCAGGGAATAAAACATATACTAACAGAATTATAACATGATTTGAAAGTCATCGTTAACTACTGGATCATATTTTATGTATCAAGGGTGAGGATTTTAGAAAAGATTTCAAGTATTTTTTTTTTTTACTGGATTTTTATTGCTGCAAGCAATATTGGACTATTTTTTTGTGAGAACTTAAGTTAAACATCGTGGTGAGGTTAAAGTTTATGGCTTCCTCACGGCCATTGTTTGTACTATACATGTAAATGAAATACAATTATATTTTTTATGTCTTGATTTTCAGGTGACAGGAGAAAAGTTGCATAGAAAATCTTCTATGTGCCATATCTCTTCAATATAGGGATCACTACTGTTTTGCTAAAAATGAACATACCGTGATGAAAAAAGGCCCTAAACTTGATGGAAACAATTTTTTATCGTCTTAATGTTTATGCTGTTATTAAGATAAAAGATCAAAGTATTTTTTGATTATTTCATTAAATTTTTTCATTCTTTTTATAACATTCGAAATTTTGATTAAAAATATTGTTTTTATTGCATCAGCCAAATACCATTAAAATACATCACCCAAATACCATTAAAATACATCACCCAAATACCATTAAAATACATCATCCAAATACCATTAAACTCAATGATGTATGCCACTTCTGAGATATTTGTAAACAAAAAGTTTAATTCTACGTTAAAACTCTTTTTTAAAAAAATGATCCTTTTTTCAAATGTTATTTGAGGAAAATTAGAAAATTTAAAGTTTACTTAATCTAATTGGAAACAAACATTAGTTACTATTTTTATTTTTTTTAAGCAGATAAAATGTAGTTGAAAATAAGAGAAGCATGCCTTAACTGTGATGACTTGGTTTTGAGGTGATAACTGACAGTTACATTGATGTATTGACAGTTTAGGTCAGAGGGGAAGTTATTGAATGGAAACACAGAAGTGACATAACTTTTTCGAATTTTAAGTGAACTTATTTAACTACCTAGTAATTTTTAAAAAATAACAAATAATTTCAGCAATCCAATATTTTTTTTTATTTTGTTTATAACCTTACGTTTGGAGATGCTTTCTGGAAAAATAAAATTTAAAATACTAAAAATAAAGTAAATTGAAAATTTCATAATTGAGAGTGAGATAAAATTCCATAAGAGAGGTACCTATAATTTTTATGTACATCTCTTATGAAATTTTATGGTGCTATTTTTATTTACTATTAATTTTTTATAATATTTCAGTTATAAAAAACTTCATAAATGAGATGATATAAAATTAACAATAATTAAAAATAATACCATAAATTTAATAAATAAGATAGATACCTATCTTATTCTATAAGGTACCTAATGGGTACCTCTCTCATTTATGAAATGATATTTTATGTGTTAATTTATTTTTTATTTTTAATATTAATTGTTATAATATGACAATTATGAAAATGTGAAATTTTTGTATTAATTTTATAATCATTTAAACTTTTTATTTAATTTTATCATAGTCTACTAATAATAGAAGTGTCAAAATAAAAAAAAATCTGCTTTGCAATTTGATTTCAGACTTTAATGAAGATTGTCTAAAGCTTCAACTTTTCATAAAATTAAGTAAGGGGTTGGTAACAAATGTAAAAAAAAATATTTTTACTTTGATTTTCTAAAAAAAAAAAAAAAACTTTTAAAATAATTTCATTCATTTGTGAATAAGTTGTGAAAGTTTCATTAAAATTCAACAATCATTTGATTTTTGTAAGAATTTCCAGTACAAATTGTTTTAGCACCAAAATAGATACTAAAATTTCCTAATGCTAAATCTTTAGGTGACCTATAGATGCAAAAAAAAAAAAAAAAAAGGGAAAAAAACATGATTTTTAACTAAAATTTCGAACGTTTTAGAAAGAATGAAAAAATTTAATAGAATAATCAAAAAATATTTATGTCCTCGCTTTTCAGAGTAACATAAACATTTTAAGAATAAAGTTTTGTTTTCATTATGTTTGGAGTATTTCATCATGGCATTCTGATTTTTTAGCAATTTCATGGAGATACCTACTTTAATATGTAGGCAATCGTGGCACTCCACAACTTCTAATAATTCTTCTATTGTCTTTGCTTTCATTATGTCCTTTCCTCCATAGCCTTGACCTTCATTATGTCCTTTCCTCCATTTCCTTCACCTTCAATATGCCCTTTCCTCCATGTCCCTCTCCTTCAATATGTCCTTTCCTCCATTTCCCTCTCCTTCAATATGCCCTTTCCTCCATTTCCCTTGCCTTCAATATGTCCTTTCCTCCATTTCCCTCTCCTTCAATATGCCCTTTCCTCCATTTCCCTTGCCTTCAATATGTCCTTTCCTCCATTTCCCTCTCCTTCAATATGCCCTTTCCTCCATTTCCCTTGCCTTCAATATGTCCTTTCCTCCATTTCCTTCATCTTTGATATGTCCTTTCCTCCATGTCCCTCTCCTTCAATATGTTCTTTCCTCCATGTCCTTCTCCTTCAATATGTCCTTTCCTCCATTTCCCTCTCCTTCAATATGTCCTTTCCTCCATTTCCCTCTCCTTCAATATGCCCTTTCTTCCATTTCCCTCTCCTTCAATATGTCCTTTCCTCCATGTCCCTCTCCTTCAATATGTCCTTTCCTCCATGTCCCTCTCCTTCAATATGCCCTTTCCTCCATTTCCCTCTCCTTCAATATGTTCTTTCCTCCATTTCCCTCTCCTTCAATATGCCCTTTCTTCCATGTCCCTCTCCTTCAATATGTTCTTTCCTCCATGTCCCTCTCCTTCAATATGTTCTTTCCTCCATGTCCCTCTCATTCAATATGTTCTTTCCTCCATGTCCCTCTCCTTCAATATGTCCTTTCCTCCATGTCCCACTCCTTCAATATGTCCTTTCCTCCATGTCCCTCTCCTTCAATATGTCCTTTCCTCCAGGTCCCTCTCCTTCAATATGTCCTTTCCTCCATGTCCCTCTCCTTCAATATGCCCTTTCCTCCATTTCCCTCTCCTTCAATATGTTCTTTCCTCCATTTCCCTCTCCTTCAATATGCCCTTTCTTCCATTTCTCTCTCCTTCAATATGCCCTTTCCTCCATTTCCCTTGCCTTCGATATGTCCTTTCCTCCATTTCCTTCATCTTTGATATGTCCTTTCCTCCATGTCCCTCTCCTTCAATATGCCATTTCCTCCATTTCACTCTCCTTCAATATGTTCTTTCCTCCATTTCCCTCTCCTTCAATATGCCCTTTCCTCCATTTCCCGTGCCTTCGATATGTCCTTTCCTCCATTTCCTTCATCTTTGATATGTCCTTTCCTCCATGTCCCTCTCCTTCAATATGTCCTTTCCCTCCATTTCCCTCTCCTTCAATATGCCCTTTCCTCCATTTCCCTTGCCTTCAATATGTCCTTTCCTCCATTTCCCTCTCCTTCAATATGCCCTTTCCTCCATTTCCCTTGCCTTCAATATGCCCTTTCCTCCATTTCCCTTGCCTTCAATATGCCCTTTCCTCCATTTCCCTTGCCTTCAATATGTCCTTTCCTCCATTTCCCTCTCCTTCAATATGCCCTTTCCTCCATTTCCCTTGCCTTCAATATGCCCTTTCCTCCATTTCCCTTGACTTCAATATGTCCTTTCCTCCATTTCCCTCTCCTTCAATATGCCCTTTCCTCCATTTCACTTGCCTTCAACATGACATTTCCTCCATTTCCCTCTCCTTCAATATGCCCTTTCCTCCATTTCCCTTGCCTTCAATATGTCTTTTCTTCCATTTCCCTCTCCTTCAATATGCCCTTTCTTCCATTTCCCTCTCCTTCCCTATGCCATTTCCTCCATTTCACTTGCCTTCAATATGACCTTTCCTCCATTTCCCTCTCCTTCAATATGACCTTGCCTCCATTTCCATCTCCTTCAATATGCCATTCCTTCCATTTCCCTCTCCTTCAATATGCCATTTCCTCCTCTTTCAATATGCCCTTTCCTCCATTTCCCTTGCTTTCGATATGTCCTTTCTTCCATTTTCTTCATCTTTGATATGTCCTTTCCTCCATTTCCCTCTCCTTCAATATGCCCTTTCCTCCATTTCCCTCTCCTTCAATATGCCCTTTCTTCCATTTGCCTCTCCTTCAATATGCCCTTTCTTCCATTCCCTCTCCTCCAATATGCCCTTTCCTCCATTTCCCTCTCCTTCAATATGCCCTTTCTTCCATTTCCCTCTCCTTCAATATGCCCTTTCCTCCATTTCCCTCTCCTTCAATATGCCCTTTCCTCCATGTCCCTCTCCTTCAATATGTCCTTTCCTCCATGTCCCTCTCCTTCAATATGTCCTTTCCTCCATGTCCCTCTCCTTCAATATGACCTTTCCTCCATTTCCCTCTCCTTCAATATGTTCTTTCCTCCATTTCCCTCTCTTTCAATATGCCCTTTCTTCCATGTCCCTCTCCTTCAATATGTTCTTTCCTCCATGTCCCTCTCCTTCAATATATTCTTTCCTCCATGTCCCTCTCCTTCAATATGTTCTTTCCTCCATGTCCCTCTCCTTCAATATGTCCTTTCCTCCATGTCCCACTCCTTCAATATGTCCTTTCCTCCAGGTCCCTCTCCTTCAATATGTCCTTTCCTCCATGTCCCTCTCCTTCAATATGCCCTTTCCTCCATTTCCCTCTCCTTCAATATGTTCTTTCCTCCATTTCCCTCTCCTTCAATATGCCCTTTCTTCCATTTCCCTCTCCTTCAATATGCCCTTTCCTCCATTTCCCTTGCCTTCGATATGTCCTTTCCTCCATTTCCTTCATTTTTGATATGTCCTTTTCTCCATGTCCCTCTCCTTCAATATGCCCTTTCCTCCATTTCACTCTCCTTCAATATGTTCTTTCCTCCATTTCCCTCTCCTTCAATATGCCCTTTCCTCCATTTCCCTTGCCTTCGATATGTCCTTTCCTCCATTTCCTTCATCTTTGATATGTCCTTTCCTCCATGTCCCTCTCCTTCAATATGTCCTTTCCTCCATTTCCCTCTCCTTCAATATGCCCTTTCCTCCATTTCCCTTGCCTTCAATATGTCCTTTCCTCCATTTCCCTCTCCTTCAATATGCCCTTTCCTCCATTTCCCTTGCCTTCAATATGCCCTTTCCTCCATTTCCCTTGACTTCAATATGTCCTTTCCTCCATTTCTCTCTCCTTCAATATGCCCTTTCCTCCATTTCACTTGCCTTCAACATGACATTTCCTCCATTTCCCTCTCCTTCAATATGCCCTTTCCTCCATTTCCCTTGCCTTCAATATGTCTTTTCTTCCATTTCCCTCTCCTTCAATATGCCCTTTCTTCCATTTCCCTCTCCTTCCATATGCCATTTCCTCCATTTCACTTGCCTTCAATATGACCTTTCCTCCATTTCCCTCTCCTTCAATATGACCTTGCCTCCATTTCCATCTCCTTCAATATGCCATTTCTTCCATTTCCCTCTCCTTCAATATGCCATTTCCTCCATTTCCTCCTCCTTCAATATGCCCTTTCCTCCATTTCCCTTGCTTTCGATATGTCCTTTCTTCCATTTTCTTCATCTTTGATATGTCCTTTCCTCCATTTCCCTCTCCTTCAATATGCCCTTTCCTCCATTTCCCTCTCCTTCAATATGCCCTTTCTTCCTTTTCCCTCTCCTTCAATATATATAACTTCCTCATTCCCTCTCCTCCAATATGCCCTTTCCTCCATTTCCTCTCCTTCAATATGCCCTTTCTTCCATTTCCCTCTCCTTCAATATGCCTTTTCTTCCATTTCCCTCTCCTTCAATATGCCCTTTCCTCCATTTCCCTCTCCTTCAATATGCCCTTTCCTCCATTTCCCTCTCCTTCAATATGCCCTTTCTTCCTTTTCCCTCTCCTTCAATATGCCCTTTCCTCCATTTCCCTCTCCTTCAATATGCCCTTTCCTCCATTTCCCTCTCCTTCAATATGCCCTTTCCTCCATTTCCCTCTCCTTCAATATGCCCTTTCTTCCATTTCCCTCTCCTTCAATATGCCCTTTCTTCCATTTCCCCTCTCTTCAATATGCCCTTTCAGACCATTTCCTCTCCTTCAATATGCCCTTTCCTCCATGTCCCTCTCCTTCAATATGCCCTTTCCTCCATTTCACTCTCCTTCAATATGACCTTTCCCTCCATTTCCTTGCCTTCAATATGCCCTTTCTTCCATTTCCCTCTCCTTCAATATAAAAAATCCTCCATTTCCCTCTCCTTCAATATGCCCTTTCCTCCATTTCCCTCTCCTTCAATATGCTCTTTCCTCCATTTCCCTTGCCTTCAATATGACATTTCCTCCATTTCCCTTGCCTTCGATATGTCGTTTCCTCCATTTCCCTGTCCTTCAATATGCCCTTTATTCTTTTCCCTCTCCTTCAATATGTCCTTTCCTCCATTTCCCTCTCCTTCAATATGCCCTTTCCTCCATTTCCCTTGCCTTCAATATGCCCTTTCCTCCATTTCCCTCTCCTTCAATATGCCCTTTCCTCCATTTCCCTGTCCTTCAATATGCCCTTTCCTCCATTTCCCTTGCCTTCAATATGCCCTTTCCTCCATTTCCCTCTCCTTCAATATACCATTTCCTCCATTTCCCTCTCCTTCAATATGCCCTTTCCTCCATTTCCCTTGCCTTCAATATGTTCTTTCCTCCATTTCCCTCTCCTTCAATATGTCCTTTCCTCCATTTCCCTCTCCTTCAATATGCCCTTTCCTCCATTTCCCTCTCCTTCAATATGTCCTTTCCTCCATTTCCTTCATCTTCGATATGTCCTTTCCTCTATTTCCTTCATCTTCGATATGTCCTTTCCTCCATTTCCCTCTCCTTTGATATGTCCTTTCCTCCATTTCCTTCATCTTCGATATGTCCTTTCCTCTCTCTTGCCATGAATATGACCTTTTGTTCACCTCTCTTGGCATCACTGGGTCTTCTGAGTGTCAAATTTTCCAAGCTTTTTGTCATAAGATGTTCCAGAAATTTCAACTGTGTCTTTCTGACTTGTTTTTGTTTTCATTTTCCTTAAAACATCTTTGTTGCTTACATACTCTGTCCACAGATATAAGCACATCCCATTTTACACTTACTGATATTGAATATTTTTTTCTCCTCTTTATTTTCTTCATTTTTGGTATCATCAAGTGGTCACTCATATAACAACATACAAAGAGAATGTTGCTTAATTTGGATGATCAACTGAAATCTTTTTGTGTCCTTAAACTGTAAACCTTTTAACATGCAGTTTTATAAAAAAAAAAAGGAAAACATTTGATAATTACTTCTTGATATTATTTAAACATAGCTGAGTATGACACAAGGTTAGATCAGAAGTGGGTGTAAATGGGAGTAGGAAGAACATGTTGCACCAATATTTTTTATGGAAAATGTCTTACCTGCCTTGAAAATCAGGAATGAAAATTCTTGCTTTTGACCTAGGTTCAAGCACCAGCCACTAGTTCTGGCTCATAAGCTATTATATTTATTTATTATTCATATTTAGCTTAGTATGGCACAAGGCCAAGTTTAGTGGAGGAAGATTGTATTGCACCATTTATACAAGTTGGGAAGGCCTGACAGTTGTAAAAAAAGATCCTTCTTTGAAACTTTGGATTTTTACCAACTATAATCTTTGGAGGAAGAGGGAAAAACCATGGGATGGTATGGAGGATAATATACAATCATCAAAACCATAAGATAGTATTTATCTTTATTATTTGTATTTAGCTTAGTATGTCACAAGGTCAAATATTGGGTGAAGATTGTGCTGCACCATTCTTTTAAGTGGTGGAAAGTTTGCTTGTACTGAAAATCAGTTAAACATAGCTAGTGTTTCAATAGTGGGATAAATGGTGAGGAACGAACTCACAACTCTAGCATTAGTTTTCAAGGCTACCTAATCTGCTTGAGATCAGTGGTTCTCAAAGGGGAGACACTTGTTTCCCAGGGGAGGCACTTGAAAAATCTCAGGGTGGAATTTTAGCCAGGAATTTCAGTTATATGTAAAAGTTGTAAGTAAAGGCGAAAAAATGTTACTTGATGAAAATTCAAAATTTAGTTGGAATTTGGAAGTCTGGAATTGAAAGTGGAGGAATGCGACCTGAGAACCACTGTTTAAGCTCATATCCACATGCAAAATGTGTGGGAGGGAGTTTCAAGACCCAAGAGCCACACAAACTAGAAAGTTACTGAGTGACATTGTTGTAAAGGAAGGAGAGGGAGATGATAAGAAGTTAATATTATGAGGTTATGTCAGATAGATATTGGTTGACCCTGGACTTGAAAAGGTTAAGATTGTAGTGGTCACTTCGAAGTTTGTTCCATAAAGTAATAGTTTTGGTGGAGAAGCTGTCTTAGTGAACGTACTCCTTACCAAAGGAACATGAAGAGAATAGGAATGATTTGTCACCATGAGCATAACATGGTGGATCCTAGCTGTGATGGTCAGAACTGGTGAGACTAAAGAATATAACAGATTTCCATATGGATGTATCCCTGGACACTACAATCTTAACAACTTCCTCACAGCCTACCACTTCCTCTTTCACTCATATTACAGCTCAATCATTATAACCCTTTTAATAGTAACCCTCTACTTTGAGTGGCTCTCAAGCCTTGTGCTGTAGGAAATTTAGTATTAAGAAAAATCCCTGACTATTGGTGATATTTTTTTTTCACAGTAAAGGTACAATATACAGATTGACCACTGAAAGTTGCTGTAAAAAATTTCAATAAAAATTTTGCCAAATCAATTCTTTTTTTTTCCCCTACTTCCAGTGGTGAGACAAGTAGCAGTGAAGAAAGTGGTTCACAAGAAGAAAATCAGAAACCATACATATTATTCTAAATTCAAATGCAATTAATAATTAAAGACAACTGTGATAATTTATTTTCCCGTTTCTGACATTTTTGTAGTAAAATAATTTATGCTGCATTTTTATAGTAAAATCATTTGCAACACATTTTTATAGTAAAATCATTTGCAACGCATTTTTATAGTAAAATCATTTGCAACGCATTTTTATTGTAAACCATTTATCATACATTTTTATCATACATTTTTATAGTAAAACAATTTGCAATGCATTTTCATAGTGAAATCATTTGCAATGCATTTTTATGGTAAAATCATTTACAATGCATTTTTATGAGTAAAATAATTTGCAATGCATTTTTATGGTAAAATCATTTACAATGCATTTTTATATTAAAATCATTTGCAATGCATTTTTATGGTAAAATCATTTGCAATGCATTTTTATATTAAAATCATTTACAATGCATTTTTATAGCAAAATAATTTACAATGCATTTTTATGGTAAAATCATTTGTAATGCATTTTTATATTAAAATAATTTACAATGCATTTTTACAGTAAAATAATTTACAATGCATTTTTATAGTAAAATAATTTGTAATGCATTTTTATGGTAAAATAATTTGCAATTAATTTTTTGTGCATTTTAATTTTTTATGGTAAAATTTGCATTTTTCAATAGTATTTTAATATGGTAAAATCATTTGCAATGTATTTTTATCTATATATATAAAACAGAGAATGTCTGTCTGTGTGGTACCTTTTCACTTGAGATCCATTTAACGTATTTTGACCAAACTTGGCACATACATTATACAATGTAAGAGATAGGTTTTTAGCATAAAAAATTGATAATTTTTTAAAAAATCAATAATCGATAAAGCTGATCAAAAATTGATAAATTCAACTTTTCTCTTGATTTTGTTCAAACTCAGTATATAGGTTACTTACATCATGACAACCTCAATGATACTTCATTTTTATTTCTACACCACTGCATTGAGTGAAATACTGGGAAAAATGAAAAATCAATTTCAACACAAATCGACTTCAATACAAATTTTAAACTAAAAACTCCCTCAATTTACAAGCAATCTAATACAAACTTCACTCAAGTTAATTGTTTAACAGTCATTTAACTTGATAATTGAGTTCACCTATATAGTGAAAACCTGCTTAAATAGTAAAAATGGTGAATTTCACTGGTTTCTTTCCTATTTTTCGTTGATCTTTCAACCAATTTCATCAAACTTAGCAATTATTCTATAAATGTATCCTCTTTTACATCCCTGGTAGCACACTGACAAATTGAATTTCAAAAACTCCAAAATAATTGTGATCTCAAGTGGGTCTTCATGTTGCCTGTTTTACCCCTTCATGTCCTTGGCTAACTTTGATTGAATAAATACTGACTACTTATGTTATATCAGTAACTGCATTAATTCAAAATGTTTTTAAAGGAATTGAAGATAAACTCTGTTACATCTAAACATGATGCTGTTTTTGCTCCATTCTAATTGAATGCTTTTTCTGATCACTCAACTGGGTACGGCTGATAATAGTATAATAATTTTCAATGAATTCCTGTAGTAAAATAATCCATAATACATTGCATTCGTATACATATTTTTACTATTTGCTATGTTATTATACATAATGATTAAAATAAATCCTATGAAAATTTTGACCTATTTGTTTACTAAATCTGCTATGTGGTATCACAATTCACATTGTGTTAAAATAATTTGCAATGCATTTCTATGGAGACTCTTAGAATTTGCTGTGTCACTGTATACGTGATTATCAAAGTGAATGAAAGTTTTGATGTATATATTTAATAAAACCTGTATGTGGTATCACACATGACATAAATAGTTTTTGCTAAAAATGATTTACAATGCATTCCTATCTCTGCTTTTAGTATTGCCCGTGTGAGTGTATAATCATTGCAGGGAATGACAGGTTTGACGTATGTGTTTTAATAAATCTTACCTGTTAAGGATGTAATCATTTGAATGCCTGAATGTGCTGACGTATTTATCTAATAAGGCCTGTAGTAAGTAGCATTGGTTATAGAAATAACTAGTGGTGAAATAATTTCCACTGCATATCTCCACAAGGGGGTGCAGAAAAGCATAAACAAATGAATGAACATCAGAAATTTTCTGTTTGAATTTCTGCAATGAGGAGTTACCATTATTTACACTATTTACATTCAGACTATTGTATTCATTTTTATTGTTATTATCACAATCTTTCGGCCATTGTGCCTTCATCAGGTGTATATCAATCCAGGTAACCTACAAGGAATTCTGAACTAAACCTTTTATTTAAAGGCCAGAGAGCATAATGACTGAAACTGTGTGTTAACAACAACAAAAATGAGGATAATTGTCCAAATGTAAATAGTGTAAATAATCAGAAACTTTATTTTAATACTTTCTTGGTTGAGCTATGAATTTTTCAGCATGCCCTTTGTGTGTGTGTGTGTGTGTAATTGTTTGGATTTTATTGACCTCTCTACCTCTCTCCCTAATAGTAGTTTTTCTTATATTCTCTAACACTCAGTAATCCCTTGCGTTTTAATGGCTTTATTCTCTTGCTTGGGGTAAAATGATTAAAAAAAAATGAGAAAGAAATTTTTCAGCATCCCTTTGTATATGCTTTTTGTATTTCGTCTGTTTCTGTGAATAATTTTTAAATTAGTTGAAAATGTCAGGATTTATTTGGGCAATATTAAGTATAATGTCAGGCTTCATATGTGTTCTTTTAATTTGGCAACTTGGCCAAGTTTTACACACACACACACACACACACACACACACACACACACATGAGATGAAAAAAGTTTTTGATAAATTGAACACAGGATAGAAAGCACTAGGGGTACATTTGTCCAACATCATAAGATGCTACAAAGCCAAATCCTTAATTTGAAAACTAAAATCAAGTTTCTAAATTGCTTCATTAGATTTGGACTTTCATGTGGATGTCATGCATTGCATCCAACTTGTTAAA